ACCCTGCTGCTGCTGCTGCACGTGCTGCTGCTGCTGCACGTGCTGCTGCTGCTGCTGCTGCTGCTGCTGCTGCTGCTGCTGCGCAGACGCTGGATCCGAAGCCTTGCTGATGGAAGTGTCTTTTGAAGCGCCCGACCTCGACTTGGCTTTTGAGCGCTTCGCTGGGGCGCAGCTCTCACGTATGGCGACTTGCTGCTGCTGCTGCTGCTGCTGCTGCTGTTGCTGCTGCTGTTGCTGCTGCATGTTGCTGTTCCCGCAGCAGTTGCTGCCGCTGCTCGCTGGCCTTTAGAAAGGGACTTTCTGAGCCGACAGAAATATGCGCACAGCGATGGCTAGCTGCAAGCTAGCTGAACAGGCGGCTAGCTAGCCAGCCGCTAGCTAGCCACTAGCTAGCTGGCAGCTAGCTACCTGTGCGATAGCTAGCAGCTAGCTAGAAGCTAGCCAGCAACCAGCGAGCTAGCAACCAGCTAGCCAGCCGCCAGCCATTTGGCAGCTAGCGAGGAGCCAGCCAGCCAGCCAGCCAGCCAGCTAGCTAGCTAGCTAGCTAGCTAGCTAGCGCGGTTTGCTGCAGTGGCTGGCTTGCTGCAGTGGACCAGCGGCAAGACGATGACCTGCGGCAGCTGCAGGGGCCCCCCAAGTTCGACCGCATGCACACGAGGGGCCCCACGGAGAAGAAGGAGTCGCCGCGCAGCAGACTGGCCCGCCTGCGACTCGAGGTGCCGCAGGCCGTCGAGCTCCTCGTGAGGCCCCGCTGCTGCTGCTGCTGCTGCTGCTGCTGCTGCTGCTGCTGCTGTGGGGCTGCTGCTGATGCTGGGGTGCTGCTGATGCTGGGGTCCTGCTCGGCTGCTGCTGGGCTGCTGCAAGGACGCTGCTCGACTGCTGCTGGCTGCTGCTGCTGGCGTGCTGCTGCTGGCGTGCTGCTGCTGGCGTGCTGCTGCTGGGGTGCTGCTGCTGCTGCTGCTGGGGCTGCTGTTGGGGCTGCTTGGGATGCTGGATGGCGGCACGTCCTGCAGCATTTCTCTAGAGTATATGGAGGCTACTGGAGCGCATTTCGCTGCTGCTGCTGCTGCTGCTGCTGCTGGTCTGGCTGCTGTTGCTGCAGGAGAGTCTGTGCGCACACGCAGACGAATCCCGGAAGAGGCAGCAGCAGCACGGAGATTCTTCTTCTGGTGCTGCTTATGTCCTTTCTCTTAACGAAGCACTTGGAGGTAAGTTGCTTCCGAAGCAAAGCAGCAGCAGCTGAGAGCATGCTGCGGCTGCAGCAGCAGGAACTTGTGCTGCAGCGACTGCAGCAGGACTTGGCGTCTTAGTGTCTGTGTCTTTGCCTTCAATTGGACTCAGAAGCAGCACATGAAGCAGAAACGAGAGTGCGGGAGGGCGTTGCAGCAGACACGGCGCTGCAGCAGGTGCTGTTCAAGCAGCAGCAGCCGCAGCAGCAGCAGCAGCAGCAGCAGGAAGACATGAGCCAGCCCTCCCTGCTGAACCCCACAGACACAGGCGGCCTCCTAGCGCCCCTATACTGCCCCACCTCTTGTGTGGAAATGGACACTTTGGCAAGAGAGGCTCAAGTGTGTTGCTGCTGCCGGTGGCTGGGCACTGTCTGCTGCTGCACTCGGTGCTGCTGCTGCTGCTGCAGCAGCAGCTGCTGCTGCTGCTGCTGCGGACGCGGCCACGCCTTCACCCGTCTGTCTGCTTGTGTGCGCAGGAGCACCTGCAAGTCCCGGTGCAGCAGCAGCAGCAAGGGGGCGGCAGCGGCAGCGCCATCGAGGTTTTGGTGCGTCAAAACCCCAAATTAGGGTTTAGGGTTTGGGGTTTAGGGAGTCGCTTGCTGCACTTGAGGGTTTGAAAGGTTTCAGCGCGCGCCTTGCTGCAGGATGCGGTGCCTTTGACTGCGGCGGCTCAAGGAGCTGCTGCTCGGCGGCTTTTGCTGCTCGAAGGAAGACTCAAAAGTAGGCTGGCTGTGTCCGATGCTGCTGCTGCTGCTGTTGCTGCTGCTGCTGCTCTGCTGTGGTCGCGCTGCGGAGCCTGCTACCGTTCTTGCTGCTGCTTTTCGCCTTCACGAATCAAAGCAGCGACCGCCGTCCTCCAGCAGCAGCAGCAGCAGCAGCAGCAGCAGCAGCAGCAGCGGCGGCGGCGCATGCATGCAGGCAGCCCATTCTTTAGTCGCTTAGTGCATGCATTTGCTGCTGCAGGGCTGGAGCAGGCCTGCCTTCCTGCTGGTCGTCGTTTGGCGTGCCTCCTTGGACTTCACGACGCGGACCGCACTCAGTGGGAAGCTGACTCGGAGGCCCCAACTCTAGCTGGTGAGCCCCAGCTAGCCAGCTAGCTAGCCAGCTATCTGGCCAGATAGCTGTCCAGCTGCTGGCCAGCTAGCTAGCCAGCTAGCTGGCCAGATAGCTGTCCAGCTGCTAGCCAGCTAGCTAGCCAGCTAGCTAGCCAGCTAGCTGGCCAGCTAGCTAGCCAGCCAGTGCCCAAGGAAGCCTCGGGCTTCCCAGCGCCAACCAGAGGCTTTCACCCGCTGGGGCACTTCTGGATAGCTGCAGGCTTGCTGCTGCACTTGCTGCTGCTGCTGCTGCTGCTGCTGCTGCTGCTGCTGCTGCTGCTGCTGCTGCTGTGGCGCAGAGCTGGCTTCGCGGCTTCACCAGCTGCTGTCGCTGGCAGCAGATCCTTCGCCGCTGTCGCAGCTGGCGGCGCGGCTGTCGGTGGTGCGCTGCTGCCTGGACGAGCAGGAGCAGCAGCAGCAGCAGCAGGAGCAGCAGCAGCGGCAGCAGCAGCGGTGGCAGGAGGAAAGAGGAACTTTTGACGAAGAAGACTTTTCGGAATTCCTTCCCGAAAAGATTGTGCTGTCTCTACACCAGCAGCTGGCCCCTTGCAAAACCCTAGCGGACAATTTGCCCCAAGTCACTGCAGCCCTGGGCCAGGCCAAAGTCCGCTTCGCCAGCGTGAGCCAAACCCTAAACCCTAGCGCTGCAGCAGCGGCTCGGCCAAACCCCAAAAAAGGGTTTGCTCCCAGCGCGGCTGCGAGGCAGTTAGACACGCAGGCGGCAGCAGCAGCAGCAGCAGCAGCAAGGGGCAGCCACAGCCGCTCACTTCAGCTGCTGCCCGCGCACTGCAGGGTGTGAGACGCCACCGCTGCTGCTGCTGCTGCTGCTGCTGCTGCTGCTGCTGCAGATTGTTTCGCTTCTGGAGGCGATGTCTTCGCAAGCAGCGCAGCAAAAGACGCTGCAGGAGAAGCTGACGAGCCTCCAGTCAATTGCTGCTGCTCTCTCGGGAGCTTCTGCTGCTCAAAGAGAAGCAGAAAAAGCCATATTTGAATTGCCGCAGCGCCGGGCGCAGCCTTGAGGCTGCTGCGGGCCTTAGCCGCAGCAAAGTGCCATTTGCTGCTGTTCTTTAGGGGGTTTTATTCCGCAGAAACAGCTAGCTACAGCTAGCTGCAGCTAGCTGCAGCTATCTGTAGCTAGCTGCTGCTAGTGGCGGGACTGCAGCAGGAAAACTGCAGCAAGTTGTGTCTTAATTAAGTTGAAATGGCCAAGACAGATGTTGCAAACGGCGCTAGCTGGGCCAGAGCCCCCCAGCAGCTCCCCTGGGGCCACTTCGTTCAAGAGTTGTTGTGTTCAAGAATGCAACTTTGTTCATGAAATGGGGCGATCTGCAGACAACTGCCCAGCTTTCTGGTTTTATTTTTGCTGCTAAAACTTGCGCAGACTTAATTTCAAACTTTTGCTGCAGAACTTTCGGTTTCCAGCTGCTGCGCAGCGACTGCAGTCAGAAGTTGAATTTTGCAGAATCCGCTGCTGCTGTTGCGTTTCTTCGCCAAATTCGCAGCCAGGACCGCCAGGAATCTCTTTATTGACTTTTATTTGCGCGCATATTACAAACATGTGCACAATTTAAACCCGAAAGGGCAATTTCGAAGCCTCATTCTCTAGTTCCGTTTCGCGGAGGTGCCTTGCAAGTGCTGCTCTTGCCGAGGAAGCTGCAGGGCTCCCCGCGCCGATCTCGCAGATAAATGCTACTAATTATGTCGAGCATTAAAAGGGGAGCATCTAAACTAAAGTCCAAATCTGCATTTTCCTTTTTTCCTTTTTTGCAGACGGTTTCCTGTGCTTCCGGGTGTCTGTGCAGCCCGGCAGCGGCCGCCGGCCGGCACTGGCGTCAGTGCAGTCTTGTTTGGAAAAAAGGAGTTGGAAAGCGAGTTGAAAACGACTGACACAGCATTAGAATTGCAAAATGACGCAGGTGGCCACGCGGACTCGCGTGGAAGTGACTACTCGCCAGCAGTCTTTGCAAATCCTGAAAAACACAGTTTCCCTCGGAGTGTCCTCCGTGCTCTACCTGCGGAACCTCTTCGAAGAAGCCGCTTTCGCCTCCGTCTGGTTCGAAGGCCTCAAACTGGTGCAGCTGCGGCCGGCCGACAAGAAATCCGCCTTTGTAGTTGGGCTGCTGCGCACGGGCGTGAACGACGCGCTGCAGCGAGTGCGTGGCTTTTGCTGCTGCAGACTTCTTGCTGCTGCAGACTTCTTTTCAAACTTTCTTCAAACTTTCTTCAAACTTTCTTTTTCAGGAATGTTTGGAACAACTTCTCCTCGGAATCCACGAGGAGAAGACCGACGCGCTGCTGGAGTCTTACCAGTTCACGTTTGGCTACGGCGGCCGGCGGCCGGACGTGTCCGTGGCTTTCAGCGGCCGCGACGCAGCAGCAGCAGCAGCAGCAGCAGCAGCAGCTCGCGAGGTCCAGCCGGTCTCCAAGGCTGAAGCCAAGAGGCAAACTGAAGCGGTAAACGCCCGCAAATGCTTGCTGCTGCTGCTGCACCTTTCATGCTGCTTCCCCGCAGCTGCTGCAGTCCCTCTGCGCCATTACGCAGCAGCTAGACCCCCTCCCCGACAACTCCTACGTCTCTCTCCGAGTAAGTCCTGCACCCCACAAGGACTGCAGCAGCAGCAGCAGACTCTGTGCTCCGCAGCTGCTCTTCAACGAGGCGCACGTGAGCGGCTCGCGCTGCTGCTGCTGCTGCTGCTGCTGCTGCTGCTGCTGCTGCTGCAGCACGGCTGACACACGGCGCTGCTGCTGCTGCTGCTGCTGCAGCACGGCTGACACACGGCGCTGCTGCTTCTGCTGCTGCTGCTGCTGCTGCAGCACGGCTGACACACGGCGCTGCTGCAGGCCCCAGCAGACTACGTCCCTGCGGGGTTTGTGTCTCGGCTGGACGAAATATCTTTTGGGGGCGTCGTGCCCTTCACTGCAATCAGCGAAAAGGTACATTTTGCTGCAGCAGCAGCTGCAGCAGCAGCACTGCAGCAAAGCCCTGCCCTCATGCTGCTGCTTTGCTGCTGCTCCAGATCGACACCAAGCACCACTCCCTCGAGCTGTCTATACAGTCCCTCGCGGACCCTCCCCAGATCTTGCCGCCGCTGGAGGGCGGGCGAGCTGCTGGTGAGTTGATAGTCCTTGCTGCTGCTGCTGCAGCAGCAGCAGCAGCAGCAGCAGCAGCAGCAGCAGCAGCAGCGTCTCACCTCTGACTGCAGTGCTGCGCATCGTCGAAGAGGTCAAGGCCTACATGCTGGCCACGGGTGCGCCTTTTTGAACGCAAAAAATGTTTTAAAAACGCATTTTAAATATATTTTAAAACATATTTTAAAATATATTTTAAAATACATTTAAAATATATTTAAAATATATTTAAAATATATTTAAAATATATTTAAAATATATTTAAAAAGTATTTTCAACAAACTTAATCTTCAACAAAACCGCAGAAGAAATGGACGCCGGCCGCCTCGCCCAGAAGCTCGGCAGCAACTGCGAGCCCTTCATAGCAGCAGCGCTGCAGCAGCTTCTTGCTGCAGGCCTTGCAGGTGCTGCTGCTTCTTTGCTTCTTGCTGCTGCTTCTTTGCTTCTTGCTGCTGCTTCTTGGCTTCCTGCTGCTGCTGCTTGGCTTCCTGCTGCTGCTGCTTGGCTTCCTGCTGCTGCTCCTTGGCTTCCTGCTGCTGCTGCTTGGCTTCCTGCTGCTGCTTCTTTGCTTCCTGCTGCTGCTTCTTTGCTTCCTGCTGCTGCTGCTTGGCTTCCTGCTGCTGCTTCTTGGCTTTCTGCTGCTGGTCCTTGGCTTCCTGCTGCTGCTGCTTGGCTTCCTGCTGCTGCTGCTTGGCTTCCTGCTGCTGCTGCTTGGCTTCCTGCTGCTGCTCAAGTTCAATTATTTCAATGCATGCATGCAGCACCTCCAGGCAAACAAGAGGCAGCAGCAGCAAACAAGCAGCAACCTCCATTTCCCTCTCCACTTTGCCACTCCAGTTTTTTCCCAAATGCTGCAGAGTCCAAACAGTCCGCTGCGGGGGCCCCCGGGGGGCCCCCGCCCCAGGACAGCGCCGGGGGGACCCCCGCAGCCTCTGGGGCTGCAGCAGGGGGGCCCCCGGGGCCCTGGGGCCCCCAGCCCAGCTCAGCCTGGGGAGGGTACTGCGGAGCCCCGGGGGCCCCCCGAGGCAGCAGCAGCGCGGCCGCAGCGCGCGCGCGCAGCAGCAGGGGGGCCCCCCCCCCTAGCTGCTGCTGCAGCGGGGGCCCCCCTGGCTGCTGCTGCAGCGGGGGCCCCCCTGGCTGCTGCTGCTGCGGGGGCCCCCCGCGCTGCAGCGCCTGCTGGAGAGCCCAGAAGGCGGGAAGAGCCGCGCGAGGTAACTGACCTTTTGAGGCGAAAGCCGCTGCTGCTGCTGCATCTCCGTGCTGCAGCCGCCGCAGCCACAGCAGCAGCAGCAGCTGCTGCAGCAGCAGCAGCAGCTGCAGCAGCAGCAGCAGCAGCTGCTGCTGCAGCAGCAGCACCCCCCCGAAGTGATGCGGGCCGCCGTGGCCCTGGTGGAACAGGGCAAAGAACTGGCGAGGCGGTCGCAGCAAATCAGCGCAGAGGCCATCGCGAACTTCTGCGTAGTTTCTCCAGAAGTGGCTGGCGAGCTGCTGCAGAAGCTGCTGGCTCTGGGCGTGCTGCAGCGGGGCCCCGGGAGGGGCAAGAAGTACAGGCGAGTTGCTGCTGCTGCTGCTGCTGCTGCTGCTGCTCACGCGCTCCGCAGGTCCAGGCTCTACGCAGAGCCGCCGCAGCAGCAGCAGCAGCAGCAGCAGCGGCAGCGGCAGCAGCCCTGCACCAGGAGCAGCGGCTGCGGACCTGCTGCTGCTGCTGCGGAAGCAAACGCTGCTGCGAAGGCTCCCCGCAGCGCAGCAGCAGCAGCGGTGATCTGCGTCGACGACGAGCCCGTCCGCACCAGCAGCAAACGCAGAACAAGAGCAGCAGCAGCAGCAGCAGCAGCAGCTGCTGCTGCTGCTGCCAGGCTCCCCAGCCTCGCGAGAGACAGCAAGTCCTGCTGCTCCTCCACGAGAAAACGCAGAAAACAAAATTGAAGTCCCAACAAAAGCCAAATCACAAAAGCTGCTGCCAAGACTACGCAGAGCAGCAGCTGCTGCGGGCCCCGCGCTGCGGCGGCGCTGCAGCGCAGCAGCAGCAGCAGCTGAAACGAACTCCCCGCGCAGCTCAAACAAATACTATTTTAACATATTTTTAGGACTTTTTGCAAAAATTCAGTTTGCTGCTGCTGCGGGTAAAGCCGCAGTTCAAGTTTAGGCGGGCAGCGCAAGACAGCCGAGGTGGTGGGGTCGATGGCTCCCGCTGCTGCTGCTGCTGCATGCAGCAGCAGCAGCAGCAGCAGCTAGTGAATTTTTCCCTTTTTTCGCGTTTTTAATCCTAGACTTGCTGCACCCTGTAGACCACAGCTGCCGACGCGCCGGCTGCGATTAGCGCCTCTGCCTGCTGCTGCTGCTGCAGTCACTGCAGCAGCAGCTGCTGCAGCAAAAAGCCCTTCAGCTGCTCCAGTGCGATCTTCACTGCTGCAGTCGCTTTGAGCCTTCATGGGAGCAGCAGCGTTGCCTCTTGGGCCGTCAGGACCGTAGCCGCGGCAGCAGCAGCCGCAGCAGCAGCAGCGGCGGCAGCAGCGCCAGCTGCAGCAGCAGCAGCAGCAGCAGCACAAGAGAGCAGCAAACCTGCAGCAGATATGGGAGAGCCAGAGGACGGAGGCGGCGGCCCTGCTGCTGCTGCGCTGCGGCTCGCGCATGCGCGGCAGCGGCTGCGCCAAATGGCTGCTTCTACGCAGTCTCTTCTGGAGAGGTGCAGCGTGAGTCTTAGCTGCTGCTGCTGCTGCTGCTGCTCTGAAGGGGGCCGTGCAGCAGCAGCAGCAGCGGGTTCTCTGCAGCAGCAGCAGCAGGCGCTGCAGAGGCTGCTGCTGCCGCTGTCGGTGTCTGCTGCTGCTGGTGCTGCTGCTGCAGCGCGGTGCCGTATTGTGCACAGGGCGCCGCAAAATGTGCTGCAGCCACCTCCGTGCTCGCGCTGCTGCTGCTGCTGCTGCTGCTGCTGCTGCAGGACGGGGCAGCAAAGCCCAAGGAGGTGCACGTGGAGGAGCTGCGGTCGCGGCTTGCTGCTGCTGACGAGGCCTTCCTGCAGTCTCAGAAGCAGCAGGAAGAAAGAGACAGAGAGACGCTGAAGCGGCAGCTGCAGCAGCTGCAGCAGCAGCAAAAGAAGCAAAAAGGTACTTCTGCGGGCCAGGGGCCCCCTGCGCCTCGGGGGCCCCTGGCTGCTGTGGGGCCCCACAGTGGCTTCCGCCTTCGCAGGCCGCAGCAGCAGCAGCAGCAGCAGCAGCAGCAAGAAGGTGGCTCCAAACAGATGCATTATGTGTATATTGCGCGCGGTGCGCAGCAGCCACGGGGACTGCAGCAGCAGCAGCAGCAGCAGCAGCAGCAGCAGCTGTGCTTGGTTTGTGCTGCTGCTGCAGGCGAGACGGAGGAAGAAGAGGGGCGGCTGCAGCGGCGAGTTCATGAGCTCGAAGCAGCAGTTGCTGCTGCTAAGGCCAGCGCGACTGAGGCCTACACAGTGAGCAGCAGCAGCAGCAGCAGCAGCAGCAGCAGCAGCGACAGCTTCAGCAGCAGCTCCCGCTGCAGCAGCAACGCCTGCATCTCGTTGCTGCGCGCAGTCGGGACGTTGCAGCATGCGGCTTTGCGACTTTGCTGCTGCGGGCTTCCAGTCAGCAGCAGCTCGTGCTGCTGCTTCCACTCCACGTGCTGCTGCTGCTGCTGCTGCTGCTGCTGCTGCTGTGCTGCAGACGGCGCAGAAAAGAGTAGTGCAGCTAAGCTCTGACTTAGAAGCAGCAGCATCGGGCAAAGAGGAGCTGCAGCAGCGCGTGGAAAGCCTGGAGAAGGCCCTGCAGCAGCAGCGGGAGCAGCAGCAGCAGCAGCAGCAGCAGCACCAGGCTGCGACTCAAGCGCTGCAAGATGAACTCTCGCAGGTGAAGCAGCAGCTGCAGCGGGAGAGGCAGCAGCACCAGCAGCAGGTGGCGGGGCGGCTGCAGCAGCAGCAGCAAATGCTGGAGCAGCTGAAGCTGCAGCAGCAGGCGAGCGAAGAAGCACACCAGCAAGCTCTGAAGCTAGTACGCAAACACACAAGGGCAGCAGCAGCAGCAGCAGCAGCAGCAGCAGCAAGGGCAGCACGGGCGTTAGCAGCAGCAGCAGCGAAGGCAGCAGCGCGAGCAGCAAAAGGAAGCAGCACAGAACTGAACAGCTGCAGCAGAACTTGCCGGGCCCCCACTTCGCCATGCGTTTCGCTGCCTCTGCTGCTGCTGCTGCTGCTGCTGCTGCTGCTGCTGCTGCTGCTGCTGCAGGCTGCTGACGACTCGCGGCTCGAGCGGGAGGCGCTGGCGCTGCAGCTGAGCGCAGCAGAAGCAAAACTGGAGGCTGTCTCCAGCATTAAAGCAGCAGTAATTGTTTTTAATTTAAATTTTATTTTTAAATTTAAATTAAATTAAATTTTATTTTATTTTTAAATTTAAATTAAATTAAATTTTATTTTCCAAATTTAAATTAAAATAATTTGATTTGCCTTTTCTTGCTGCAGTTCACTTTGTTGCCATTTATGTTTGCATTCTTCCCACATATTTGCCCCATAATTAATTAATTAATTAATTAATTAATTAATTGATTAATTAATTAATTAATTAATTAGTTAGTTAATTAATTTCTGCTGCTGCTGCTGCTGCTGCTGCTGCTGCAGGGCATAAACGAAAGGAACTGCCTCGAACAGCTGCAGGGCGCCAATGCTGTACGCTCCGTAGTGCTGCTGCTGCTGCTGCTGCTTGTGGCCCGGGGTCGTCGCTGCTGCTGCTGCTGCTGCTGCTGCTGCTGCTGCTGCTCCAGTTGAGCTAAGCACCAACAAAAGGGCGAAGACCCTAGACGTCGCGTGTGTTGCTGCTGCTGCTGCTGCTGCTGCTGCTGCGCTTAATGCTGGCTCTGTGCAGAAGCTACAAAAGGAGAAGGAAGAGCTGCAGCAGCAGCTTGTGGAAGCAGCTAAGCGACAAGAACAGCTGCAGCACCAAGAGCAGCTTCAGCAGCAGCAGCAGCAGCAGCAGCAGCAGCTGCTAGACTGCACAAGGGACCTCAAGGAAGCAGAAATGCAGCGCCAGGAACTTCTTAAAGAAGTTATGCAGTGGAGAAAGCTGGCAGCCTGTGGGGTTTTTTGCTGCTTGCCGCAGTTGCTGCTGCTGCTGTTGCTGCTGCCGCTGCTGCTGCTGCTGCTGCTGCTGCTGCTGCTGACGCTTTGGCCGTTGCTGCTGTCGCTGCTGCTACTGCTCCTGCTGCTGTCGCCGTCAGAGCTGCTTTTCTGCTGGCGCCGTTGCCTTTGCTGCTTCAGCTGCTGCTGAGCAGTGACCCAAGTGAACAGCTGCAAGCATGTGCTGCTGCTGCTGCTGCTGCTGCTGCTGCTTTTGGTGTTGCTGCTGCAGCATTTGTAGTGGAGGAAACCCCCACGAGAGAGGCCTTCCGCCGCTGGCTGCTGCTGCTGGTCAACTCTGTCCAGGCGCTGCAGTTCACCAGCAGACAAGCAGAAGCAGAGCTGCAGCAGCAGCAGCAGCAGCAGCAGCAGCTGCAGCAGGAGCTTGCGGTAGGGCTGCGCGCAGAGTTGCGGCGATGATTGGCTCGCTGCAGCCCCGGCAGCAGAATTGCCCCCACGGGAGTTGCTGCTGCTGCTGCTGCTGCTGCTGCAGCTGACGGTGTAGCTGCTGCTGCTGCTGCTGCTGCTGCTGCAGCTGACGGTGTAGCTGCTGCTGCGGCTGCTTGCTGTGGGAATGCTGCTGCAGCACCAAAAGGACCTGGTGGCTGCGCTGAAGCTGCAGCTGGCGGACGCAGAGCTGCAGCAGCAGCAGCAGCAGCGGCAGCACCAGCGGGTGCTGTCAACTGAGAAAGCAGCTAACGAGCTTCTTCAGGTATGGGCTTTGTTGTGTGCAGCAGCAGCAGCAGCAAGAGCAGCAGAAGCTGCAGCATCAGAATCAGCAGCAGCAGCAGCAGCAGCAATAGGAGGAGCAACGGCATTGGCAGCAGCTGCAGCAACAGCAGCAGCAGTGCATGCGCGTATTTAAAAGCACAGATTTGTGTCTATAGTTGAAGCCTGGGCTGCAGCGGTTGACTGAGTGCTGCTGCTGCTGTGCTGCTGCTGCTGCTGTTGCTGCTGCTGCTGCTGCTGCTGTCTTCAGGTCAAGCTTGCTGGGGCACTGCATGCAACCAGCGAGCAGATCGAGCGCCTGTTGCAGCCGGCAGCAGCAGCAGCAGCAGACGGCAGCAGCGACAGCAGCAGCAGCAGCAAGCAGCTGCAGGAGCAGCTAGCTGAGTCACAGGAGGAGATAAAACGCATGCAGCAGCTGCAGCAGCAGCAGCAAGAGCTGGTACGGCGGGAGTTTCGTGTGTCTGTAGGCAGTGCACTGTTGGCTGCTTGTGCTGCTGCTTTGCGCATGAGCCTAGCTGCTGCTTGCTGCTGCTGCTGCTGCTGCTGCTGCTGCAGCTGCAGCGCCAGGAGGCGGAGCTGCAAAGACTGCGACAAGCTGATAGGCGGCATGCGAGTGCTGCGCTTGAGAGCGAACAGCTGGCTCAGGTTTGCTGCAGTTCTTGGCGTTGCTGCTGTTGCTGCTGCTGCTGCTGCTGCTGTTATTGCCGCTGCTGCTGCTGCTGCTGCTGTTGCTGCTTCTGCTGCTGCTGACCTGCTGCCGGGGCTGCAGCAGCTGCAGCGAAAGCGGGGCAGGCTCGTTTCGAGGCAGTGTCTTCGGCGTGCAGGCTCGCTGCTGCTGCTGTTAACGATTGCTGCTGGGATTTTCTGCTGCTGTAAATGTCCGCATTTGCTGCTGCTGCTGCTGCTGCTGCTGCAGGAGAATGCTCGTTTAAAGGGGGAGCTGCAGAGAAAAGCTGCTGAGGCGGCGGAGCTTGAGAAGCGCCAAGGTACTGTGCTGAGCAGACACAGCGCACCTGCCGCAGCAGCAGGAGCAGCAGCAGCAACAGGAGCAGCAGCAGCAGCAGCAGCAGCAACAGGAGCAGCAGCAGCAGGAGCAGGAACAGCAGCAGTTTCTGCTGCTGCGGTTTGTGAGCGTTAGTGATTTTGCCGCTGAAAGCGTCTTTGCCAAATTGCTGTTTGTACCGTCGTGGACACTGAGAAGCTTTCCATTTGCTGCTGCTGCTGCTGCTGCTGCTGCTGCTGCTGCTTTTGCTGCTGCTGCTGCTGCTTCTGCTGCTGCAGGTCAGCTGCTGAACGAGCTCGCGGACGTCTCTGTCTGCCTGGGCAGAGAGCGAAGCCTCCAAACGCAGCTGGTGCGGCTGCTGTGAATGTTCTGCTGCTGCAGCTGCTGTTGGCTCTGCTGCTGCTGTTGCTGCTGCTGCTGCTGTTGGCTCTGCTGCTGCTGCTGCTGCGTCCTGCCGCTGCTTTGTTGCGGCAGACGATGGTACGGGCTGCTGCACAAGTGTCCCCGCTGGCAGATGTCCTCGCTGCTCCTGCACTGCTGCTGCTGCTTTCTTACTGCTGCTGCTGTGCTGCTGCTGCTGCTGCTGCTTTCTTACTGCTGCTGCTGTGCTGCTGCTGCTGCTGCTGCTTTCTTACTGCTGCTGCTGTGCTGCTGCTGCTGCTGCTGCAGCAACGGGCTCTAGAGCGCGTCTCCACTTTAGAACGTTTGCTGCGGGGAGGCTCGGGCGACGCGGCAGACCATGCGCAAAGAGTGCAGACACTGGAAGCAGAAGTGAGCAGCTCTTTTGCTGCTGCTGCTGCTGCTGCTGCTGCATTTGCTGCTGCTGCTGTTCTCGCCGCGGCTTCAGCTGCTGGGCAGCTTGCTGTGACCACTGCTGGTGGGGCTGCAGCTGCCGCTGCTGCTGCTGCTGCTGCTGTTGCTGCATCTTGTGTCAACCGTCAACAAGACTGCACAGCAGCAGCCGGAAAAAAGTTGAAGCAGCAGCAGCAGCAGCAAAACAGCAGCAGAAGCAGCAACAAAGCAGCAGCAGCAGAAACAGCCGGCTGTGGTGCTGTGCACAGGTTGACAAAACAAAGCAAAAGATGGAGCTGCTGCAGCAGCACTGCGTGCAGCAGATTGCGTGAGTGTCTGCGCTTGCTGTCCCGAGGACGGCGCTGCTGCTGCTGCTGCTGCTGCTGCAGCTTTTGCTGCTCCGTGGTTACTGCTGCTGTAGTGTGACTACTGATGCAGTTGCGGCTTGCTTCGTTGTGTCTGAGGCCGCAACTGGCCAAGAGCAACGCTAGATGTAGTCTGTTGAGCAGCAGCAGCTGCAGCAGCAGCTGCAGCAGCAGCTGCAGCAGCAGCTGCAGCAGCAGCTGCAGCAGCAGCAGCAAGAGGAACAGTTACAGCAGCAGCAGCAGCAGCAGCAAGATTGGCAGCAGCAGCTGTTTCTTTGCCTCTGCAGGGCCATGCGAGAAGCTGTTTATCTCATTCTTGGCTGGGACGTTGCCTACCGCTGCGGTGAGGCCCCATGAGGGTCTGTTGCCTTTTGCTGCTGCAGCTGCTGCAGCAGCAAAAGCTGCTGCAGCATCTGCAGCAGCAGCAGCTGCTGCAGCTGCTGATTTTACTGCTGCTGCAGCTGCTGCTTTTGATGCTGCTACAGCTGCTGCTGCAGTTGCTGCTGCAGCTGCAGCTGACAGACCTTGCTGCTGCTGCGGCTGCTCCACTGTGGCTGCTTCTGAATCTGGCCAACTGCTGCTGCTTATGCTGCTGTTGCTGCTGCTGCTGCTGCTGCTGCTGCTTTTAGGGGGGCCTGAAGGAGAGGAGACAATCATTTTGCAGTGTCTGTACGCCACGCATGACGGCGTCTTGGTGTTCTCTCGGCAGCAGCAGCAGCAGCAGCAGCAGCAGCAGCAAAAGCTTGAGCCCAATGAGCAGGCGCAGCAGCTGCAGAAGCAGCAAGAAGACAAGCAAGAAGAAGAGAAGCGCGCTGGAGAGGCAGCAGAGAATGCTGAGGCCGAGACTGCTGCTGCTGCGCCCACAGCCAGCGATGCAGCAGCAGCAGCAGCAGCAGCAGCAGCAGCAGCAGCAGCAGATGGTGTTGCTGCTGCTCCTGTAGCAGGTGAATGCGCCTCGAGCAGCTCAGAGCCGACCCCAGGACACATTGCTGCGCCTCGGGAGCACTCAGATCAGCAGCAGCAGCTGCTGCAGCAGCACGACTCGCAGCAAGAGCAGCAGCAGCAGCAGCAGAAGCCGCAGCAGCAGCAGCAGAAGCCGCAGCAGCAGCAGCAAGATGAGGCGCTCCAGCGCTTCGCCAAGTCTCGCTATCGAGTTTCCTTTCTGAATTTTTACGGGGATCTGCTCCAAAGAGACCCTCAACTTGTAAGCAGCAGCAGCTGCAGCAGCAGCAGCAGCAGCAGCAGCAGAAGCAGCAGCAGCAGCAGCAGTGATAGATGGAGTAATACTTTGGTCTTGCAGCAGCTACTGATGATGTTGTTGCTGTTGTTGCTGCTGCTGTTCTCCCAGTGCAGCTGCACTGTTTTAACGTCTCACAGCGTGTGCAGCTTGTGGTAGTGCTGCTGCTGTTGCTGCTTCTGCTGCTGCTGCTGCTGCTGCTGCTGCTGCGGCGCGGCGTTGCTGTCGTTGCTGCTGCTCGTTTCCTTTTCTCTCTGTGTGCCCCCTCTGTGTACTAATTTTCGGGCCCGTCGGCTGCCTCTGCTGCTGCCGCTGCTGCTGCTTTCTGTGCTGCTGCCGCTGCTGCTGCTGCTGCTGCTGCTGCTGCTGCTGCTGCTGCAGAGTGGACGGGCGCTGTCGCAGCCGTGGCCCGCTTTTGCTGCTTCGCTTTGCCTCGACGAGCTGCGGCGTTTAACAGTTTCTTTCGAAGGCAAAACGCCTCGCAACATCCACGGAATGCTGCTGCCCATGCCTTGAGGCTTTGCTGCTGCTGCTGCTGCAGCAGCAGCAGCTGCTGCTGCTGCTGCTGCAGCAC